ACAGGTTGTTTCCTTTGGGCTCAGACAGGTGATAAGAAAGCAGCGCATTGTATCCAGAGTCTGCGTCTACAGCCCTGATCTTTGCCACAAAGTATGCAGCTTCAGCAGAATAGGGGATGCTCTCACTGTTAACGGAGCCGTGCTCAGAATATGGGGCGAGAATCATGGGACTGTTGTCATTTTCATCCAGGATTAAAACGTTGACAGTGACGTTGCTGCTGAGTGGAGGAAGACCAGAGTCTGTGGCCTGAACTTTAAAGTTGAAACTTTTTAACTCCTCGTAGTTAAAAGACTGCAGGCTGATAATATCTCCTGTCTCTGAGTTTATATTTACAACAGAGGTTATTGGAATACTTTTTGAAAAGTCACTGAGCAGGGAATATGTCACTTTAGCATTTTCCACTAAATCAGGGTCGACGGCAGTAATTGTTGATATAATAGCTCCCACTCCACTATTCTCTTTTATATATACATTAACAACAGATTCTGAGAATAAAGGGGCATTGTCATTCACATCAGAAATGTGAACAGGAATAACACTAGTACTAGAAAGAGGTGGAGTGCCTTCATCAGTGGCTATCATGGTTACATTATATTGAGAAATACTCTCTCTGTCTAGAGGCCCATCAACTGTTAATGAATAATAATTTTTGTAATTTACCTTGAGTTTAAAAGGCACCACCCCAAGAAGTTTAGCACTGGTGAGTCCATTACTGCCCCCATCTTTGTCTGTTACAGTCACCAAAGCCACAACTGTACCTATCTCTGCATCTTCTTTAACTGGGCTCATAAGAGAAGTTACAGTGATTTCAGGCGTATTGTCATTCACATCAATTACTTCCACTAACAATTTACCATGCGTACTTCGTGATGGCGTACCTTTATCTCTTGCCTGTATACGAATATCATATGCTGTATTCTCTTCATAGTCTACTTCTCCTACTACAGTTATTTCCCCCGTGCCTGGGTTTATTGAGAATAAAGCTTCTGGTTTGAAATTTCCCCTTTTAATAAACGAATACAGTATTTCACTGTTTATTCCCTCATCTAAATCTGTGGCACTTACAGTGACTATAGAGGTCTGAAACTGGGTATTTTCAGTTACCTGGGCCTTATACAGAGGCTGACTAAATACTGGAGAATTATCATTTATATCCATAACATGCACAACTATCCTTAATGTTCCAGATCGGGGAGGTTTTCCTCCGTCTAGAGCTGTTAAAACAAGGTGAATAACAGATTTTTTCTCTCTGTCTAAAGATTTTTGCAGTACTAATTCAGCAGACTCACTGTGCTGTCCGCCGCTCTGCACGTCCAATGAGAAATATTCATTTGGACCAAGCTTGTAGCTTTTTACCGAGTTGCTGCCCGTGTCTGCATCGTTTGCCACTGGGAGCAGATATCGCTCCCCAGTGGAAGAAGACTCTGAAATATTTAAAATTTTTTCATTTTCAATGAAGGATGGAGCATTATCGTTAATATCAGTAACCTGCACCTCTATGCGATGCAGATGCATCGGGTTGTTCAAAATTGCTTCTACGCTCAGGGAACATTTCGCAGTATTTGGACAGAGCTCTTCACGATCAATCCTATTGCAAACATACAGAGCACCAGTTTTTAAATCCACGTCAAAATGTTTTTTTGAGTTCCCAGATACAATTCGTAAGTCCCGTTTTTCCAGCTCGTTAACGTTAATGTGTAAATCCTTTGCGATATTTCCAACCACCGTTCCTTTGTCAACCTCCTCGGCAACGGAGAACGAGAGCTGCGCTGCAGACGCGTCACACAAACAGAGCAAAGCTATGATTTTTATCCACATTGTGAGTCTTTGTCCTCCACGCCTCGTCGCTGCCACACAATGAACGAAATAATAATTTCGGAACATATCCACTTCAGAGGTGACTAACAGAGAAAGCCGTTTCCGTCTTGTGGCAATTTTTCTGTTTTTGACAAAGCACTAGTGGACTACGGCAGACTCGCAGGGAGAGGAGGAGTCTGGGGGGGAAAAAAACCCAACAAAAAAAACAAAACCCTGACCCATAAATAAATTTATGGCCTCGAGCGACACCAACTGTTTGTTTGGTCCAGATGATTTTTACCAAGCATAAGAAATATTAGTACATGTGTCGCAATTGGATCTTTGAAACGGTATATTTTGTAAAAGTAGACAAAGCAGTAGAAAATATGAATGTAAAATTCACAACATATTGTTCAACTTTTTATAACAAACGGTTGGCAAAGAAATGATGGTCGATGGTCAGTTCAGCACCATAGACAGCGTACTCAGTACTAAGTCATTTAGCTCGACTCAATCCTGGCTTTAAGTACCATTCAGTAACCGTTTCATAAGCTGTGTGCTAAAAAGTGCTATACAAATAAATTTGCCGTATTACGATTAAATCAAAGACCAAACCCAGTCTAAGGTTATGGTGAACTCACCTTCTCTTTGGTAGGTAAAGTCTGAGTTCTGGTAAAAGTGTCTCCTCCGTTAATACTGATCAGTTCTCCATCTACAGGTGGAAACGGAGCGGGGAAAACCACCACGTCACTCTTGAGTGTGTCTGAGCTGAAACACACGTCATACTGCTGAGTAGCTTTAGAGTAAGACCAGCTCCCGTCAGGGTGGGTGGTGATCATGGGGGCGCTGTACCTGCTGAAAGTGCCGTCTGTCCTGTGGCATCTGACTGCTATTAAAGTGATGAGGCTGAGCA